GCTGGGCCTCATGTCCCTGTGGACGGTCCTCAACCGCAACTCCTCGTGTAGGTACACCAGCCCCCTCGTCGTCCCGACGCAGATCTCGTACCACGCCGCTCACTCCAGCTGCAACCCTCCGCCGCTCTTCCCTGCAACTCCGACGGTGGCGGCGCCCACCAGCCGCTTTTCGGTTCCGTAAACAGAAAAGAAAAACAAGAAAAGAAAAGAAAAGGAAAGAATGAAGGAAGGAAGGAAGGAGGAGGTGATTAGGTTGCTTCACGGTCACCCTCCTCCCGTCGAAGAGCTTCCCCAGCGGAAGGTGAACAGGCCACGGCAATGTGCTTCTTCTATTTCCTCTCTCCTTTCTCCTTTTTCCCTCTTTTTCTTCGGTCTTCCGCTCCTCTCTCCCGTCGGGAACTGTTAAGATGGTTCACGGTGGACCTGCGGATGGGGCAACGATCACGGTGGATCGGCCAAATCGGGCGTTGGATCGGGCAAAGCCGCGGATCAAGACGGTTCGGCGGATCAGCGGACCGCTTTTGGGGGGAAAAACCGGAGCCTCTCCTCCCCCCCCCCCCCTCTTTCTGTCTCTCTCCCTCTCCCCCCCTTCTCTCCCTCTCTCTGTGTCTCTCTCTACGCCTCTGTCTCTGTCTATGTGTCTGTCTCTCTCCCTCTCCCCCCTCTCCCTCTCTCTGTGTCTCTCTCTCCGCCTGTCTCTTTCTCTCCCTCGTGTGTCCTTCTGAAACCGTGAGAACGTCGAGGAGATGGGCATCAACCGCCAGAACGGCTTCGTGTGGCTCGGCCAGAAGAAGGCCTGGTGGGGCAACCGTCTCAGCCCCACCATTGGAAGGGTCGGCGCCACCACAGGAGGGGAAGACCAGCACAGGAGTCATGCCACGTCGACATTGTCAACCTAGGATCCAAGATCCGAATTTTATTTATTATTAGGATTTTCTTTTCATTTAGTTTCCTTTAACGAATTCTTTACTCTATAAATAGGATTACCGCTGTAATAAACGGTTTTGGTGGTGGATTTTGAAAATTTAGACATTTTTTTCAGAATTTACCCTAAGATTTCCTCTCAGCTGCCGCCGCCACCGCCGCCGCCGCTGAGAGGCGATCCTCCTACGCCCGTCCGCCCATTACGAGCGCACGACTCCCCCTTCCACCCCCCCACCCCCCCGTGATCCACCATTCAAGAGCGAACATCCAGTTTCTCTCGCCGCCGATTGCACTGTCCGCCCTCTGGCGCATTGTTGTCTACCAACGGCGGTAGACGACAACATTCACGTCGACGAGTGTTGACTCGTCGTGGGCCCCGCTTTCAGGTCGTCGGCAGCCGACGCAGCCATACGCCCTCAGCCGACTCACGCGTGACTCTTCCCCGCCGCACGACTGTCCATTGCCCTCTCGCGCGACGATTCCAGCAGCCGCCCGTTTCGCCACGGGAGCATCGAGGTCCTCCATCGGGCGAGTGCGCAGAATCAACCTCCGGTTTAGGTTTCGGGGCGTTGCCCCGAACCCTGCTTTTGGATTTAAAAAGTGAGGTCTGATGCCCCTGAGAATCCTATCCACATCAGGGCTGGGGGAGAGTCAACACCAGCAGAGGAAAATGGTGACCACCAAAAAGTGTTCATTGCCTCCTTTATGATGTTCTAGAGGGTTCTACTCCATATAAATCTAAAGTCTGAATTCATCTCGAATCTAATTATGGTGTGTCATATGTCTAACAGTCCTACAAAGATGCTCCCTTCTAACTTTCTCAGCCTTATAAGTTCATCTCTAATGGTAATCAATAGTGGCCTGTTTATGCTATATTTTCCTATCATATCGTCTACAAATGGTTCAGCTAACTATTCAATCTCATCTTCCATGAATTTCATTCTGGGTATACCTTCCTGAATGTAGCGTGGTTTTTATGATTTAGTCTAAACATATTATGGGCCGATGTGCTCATTCCATGTTATCTTTGCATATATCACAAAAGAAGTAGAATTTGCATATCTTGTGGTCTGTTTGTGAATTGAGTTAACATTTAGTGATGCTGAGATTGTATTGTTATCATTAACTAGATTGTCATCAACATTCGATTTAATACCCTCCCTATTTGTTTTTATAATTTGTTTGTTCTTTTGAGTGATTTTATGCATTTGTTTAGTGGACACTACATCTACAATTGAACAAAATTGTAAATTATTCTACGAATTTAAATTAAGTTTGTCATGTATCTATGCCTTTGAGGTTTGAGTTTCCTTCAAAGTTTCCTACTTCCTTGATGCATCTCCTTTTTCATTATAATGTGGAATAGGAGTCTGTGCTTCCAATATTTGGTTGGTCTTCATGTTGTCTTTTGCAATTGATTCTCTTCTACTTCAGGACCTAACCATCAAGATAAATACTGATAGTTCACCCAAGCATCATCTTCTCCTCTAATTCCCCCTCTCTTTTGTTTTACAAACTCAAAGAAACGTTCATGTCTTACCCACATGTTTTGACAGCGAAATGGTGCTCCACCATTCCTTCTACTTTCAATGAAATTAATTAACAAGGGGAATGATCAGAGTTTAGTCTCTATAAATATTGGTCGCTAATGGGGCAGCGGTTTATACACTCGAAATTAACCAGACCTCTATCAAGTCTTTGGTATATGTGTGCATTACTATTGCCTCTGTTGCACCAAGACATCATGTTCTCTAGATGACTGGGTTCCATCAAACCTTCATCATTGATGAATTCATTGAATTCATCCATATGGGATCTAATACCTCTATTCCCCCCATTCTTCTCGAAATAGTATCTAATAATATTGAAATCCCCTACAATTATTCATCCAAGATTTCATGTCATTCTTGAAGATCTAAGCGTCTGTCGTACCTCTCGCTTGTGCTCTGCATCATAGGAGGCATAGATGACTGTGAGGAGCCATATTTTCCCATGCATCAAGAGATAAAATGATGCACACTAAAATTGACTAACTCACAGTGTATTCTAGCACATTATTCATGTGCTATCAGAAGGTGAGTGACACACACGTGTGTGGAGCGAGGCCTTCACCACTCGAGCCCAGCTCGTGGCTCCCCTGATCTAGGTCTACTTGCTTGAGTACTAGCTTGGCAGTAGGTAGAAGAATTTTTTTTATCTTTTATTTTGTTTATTTTAATAATAAAAAATATGCTAAGTATTTTAACTTTAGACTTTTAAAATTAACAACATATCCTATATTTATTCTACAAGTTAAAAAAATAAAAACAATTAATAAAACTAGTTAAAACACAAAAGTCTAGCTTTAACAGACACCATGTAACAAGTCCAAAATAAGAGGAAAAGAAGATGAAGCTCAAACTACTGTGTATGCACTGCAAACGTATCACTAAGGGGATAAATGTCATGAGTAATTTCTAAGCCCTCAACTCTTTTTGGATTGAAAGAATGATCTAGAATATTGTGTTCTTACAAAGTACCAATCAATGAAAGCACTTAATAGAAAAAAAGAACACAAACACACACACAAGTCCCAAACATTATAAAAAAGTAACACAAATGACACAACTAGCCATACATAGTGCAAGGAACACTAGAGCTACAAATCGTGGTGAAGAAAAGAAAATAAAGGTTACCTAAAAGGAAAAGGCTTATCAAAAGAACATGGAGAACCAAAAGATCAGAAACTAGAATCTTGGGGCATGACATCTAGAATCATAAAAACATAAGAAAAAGTAGTCCGAAAAAAAAGAGAAGAAGAAAAAGAAGAAAGTAAGAGTTGTGAAAGGTCCAAAAGACAATAAGTTTTTCCGCTCCGCCAAGTGACAGCCGCCGGAGACGATTCGACGACCCACTTCATTGATCTCTAGACTTCGCGAGAAGATCTAGAGATTGCCCACGTCGTCTTTGTCCAAGGAGAGCCTTTGAGGCTGTGGACACTACACGACGATCCTCCCAAACGCTGAAGATTCCAGTGCATCGTCGACGCATCGCCGTCGCGATGCCGGAACTCTGTTTTCCTGCTTTCAATTTAATTTACGCTTCATTTAGTGATACTTTGTGTGATTTTAATTTACCAAACTATACTTCGTTAAATTACGATTCTTCTAGCTTTTACAGATCTTAATTTGATTAGTTAAGTCGTCTGTAATCGCTTACGTAAGAATTGCCTGGCAGAACTCTATTTCCGCCTGATTCGCGTTTGCCAGGCACTGACGTCCTCTTGACGCCCACACCCTTATTTCCTTTTTTTTCGTGAATTTTAAATATATTTCCTTTTTATTTCCTAGTATAAAATTTGTAAGAAAATCGTATTCATTGAGAAAAATTCTGAATAATTACCAGGCATTATATTACATCCCTATGATCGACCTGGAAAATTACCGCTATTTTTGGAATTTTTATTGAATTATAATTAATATATTTATTTAGAAATACTTCTAAATATTTGAAAATTCATATTTTCTAGTTTTATAAATTTTATATTTGCGTGATTTAATATACAACGACTGAGTCATGTCAAATTTTGGCGCCGTTGCCGGGGATGTATTGCATAATATTTAGTATTTTTTTGTTTTTCTCTTAGAGTACACAAAAAAAAAAAAACTTAACTTTTGTTTTATTTTTGCCGATTTTTATTAGAAAAAGGGAACGAAAAGAAGCATGGCAAGGACTGGAGCATCTTGAAGGAGGGTAACAGTTACTAACTTTTTCCCTCGAATTTATTGATTTTTATGCATGGTAGAAGATCCTTGCATCCAAGGCTAGAAAATCCTTTCATTATTTCATTCAAAAATAAAAATCCGAAAGAAAAATTAATTTTGATGGATCCTGAAGGAAGTACAGGTCAAATTGAGAACAATCCTATGGCCATGAAAAATCATTATATCCCTGATTCATTTCAAAGAGCATCTAATATTAGAGTCTCATTAGCACCCACTGTTAAATTCGAAATAAATTCAGGAATTTTTCAAATGCTCCCTAATTTTCATGGATTGCCTTTAGAGGAACCTCATCAGCACTAAGAAAAATTTCATATGGTCTGTGATTTAGTTAATCTCCCTCAAGTAACACCGGAAATTATAAAGATGAAATTATTCCCTCATACACTTAGGGACAAAGCTAGTCATTGGCTATCCACATTAGATAGAGAATTAACTAGCTGGAAAGATATAGAACAGGTCTTTCTTCGAAAATTTTATCCCTTAGGAAAAACTCAAAATATGAGAAAACATATATGGAGTTTTTCTCAAAGACCAGGAGAAACTTTGCATGAGACATGGGAAAAATTCAAAGATTTACTTAGAAAGTGTCCTCATCATGTTATACCCAAGTGGCAGCTCAATAGAATTTTTTATGATGGATTATTCGAACAACATAGAAATATGGTTGATTCTATATGTGGAGGAGCTTTTATGGAGAAAACTCCTGATGAGATTTACAATCTTTATGAGAATTTAAGTAAAAATTCTAGAGATCAAGCCTCTTTTGAATTATATGACAGGGATAAGAAGAGAGGAATTTATGAATTGCATCATGATGATGATTCTAAACTTAGAAATGAGGTTAATCAGATTAATCAAAGATTAGAAAAAATTGATTTACTTATTGACAATATTAGAAAGCCTTTTAACCCTCAACTTAATTTGAATAGTACATGTCCTATGTATAGTGAAAATGATTATTCTGAATTTCAATGTTATAATTTAGATCAATCATTTCACCTTATGCAAGAACAAGTGCAAGTAGCTCACGGTTTTAATAGAAATAGGGAACATTTTTCAAATTCTTATAATCCTAATTGGAGGAATAATTTTTCATGGAGAGACCCAAATAATATTCAAAATCTAGAAGCACTTAGACCCAATTCAAACTCTGAATTTCGTCCAAAATAAGAAAACAGATTTCAGAAAAATCAGTCCTCTCAAATCCAACCTGATGCTATGGAAATGATACAGCAAATGAGCCAAATGATGCAACAAACAATGAACCAAATGATGCTGCACCAGAAACAAATTATAGAGGCCCTTAGGAATAAGAGAGAAGAGGGACAGCTACCTAGTCAGCCCATAGAAAATCCAGGGAACCGCCCAACAATAGGATTTCAGTATGGGGAGTCTAATAGCATGAATCTAGGAAAAAACCCACGAAATGAAAATGTTAGGACAGTGAATGCATTAAGGAGTGGTAAGATCTTACCTGATCCTTATCCCCAAACATTAGAAGAAAAAGAAAATGTGGACAACCCAAAACAAAATCAAATAGGAGTAGAAGAGGATTTTATAGATTCTACCAAAGAAATTTCGAAAGAGAGGACAACCATTCCATTTCCTAAAGCTCTAGAGCCTAGACAAAGAAAGAAAAAGGAACACAATGAAGAAATAAAGAAAATTTTACAAGATGTGCAAATTAGTCTTCCTTCACTCACTGCCATTGAACATATTCCTGAATATGCTAGAGTTTTGAAAGAAATGTGTACACCAAAAAGGGCACCTAGAGTAGAAAAATTATCTATGTATGCTAGTGCATTATTATTAAATCAATTACCATTTAAATTGAGAGATACAGGTGCCCCTTTAATTTCGTGTGATATTGGTGGATTCATTTTTCAAAATGCATTACTTGACACCGGTGCTAGTATTAATTTATTACCTGCAAGTATTTGTGATAAATTTAATATTTCTAATCTTAAACCTTCTACTGTTACCTTACAATTTGCTTATAGATCCGTAAAACATTCTAAAAGTATTTTAGAAAATGTGATAGTGACAGTTAAAGAGTGTAAATTTCCAGCTGATTTTGTAATGCTGGAAATGGATTTTAATGGACAGTTTTATGATACACCAATCATCCTAGGGAGACCATTTTTGCATACAGCAAAGATGAATATTGATTTTCCCACAGGTATTGCGAAAATTTCATGTGGAGATCAATCAGTAGAAATTAAATTTTTTGAGGTATCAAATGATCTTAAGAAATCCCAAGTATATGATTGTCATACCATAGATCTTCTAGATGATTTTGATGATCCAAATGTTATTGATGACTGTGTGCTGGAAGAATTAGAGGAAATAGAGAATATAAATTTAGAAGAAAAGAAAGAGGAAGATCATCTGAATTTAGAGTTGAAACATCTTCCCTCTAATTTAAAATATATGTTTTTGGAAGAAAATAATTCATTTCCTGTTATTATTGTAGCTGATTTGAGTAATGAACAGGAAGAAGAATTATTAGATGTACTTTGAAAAAATAAGAAGGCTATGGGCTGGAAAATGGACAATCTAAGGGGCATTGATATGAGAGTATGCATGCATAGTATATATCTAGAGGAGGGGGCTAGAACTAGCAGGGAACCACAATGAAGATTAAATCCTAACATGATGGAAATTGTAAAAAAATAAATTTTAAAGTGGCTGGCTGCTGATATTATTTACCCTATTTCAGATAGCAAATGGGTTAGTCCTAGACAAGTAGTGCCAAAAAAATCAAGGATCACGATTATAAAAAACAAAAATGGGGATGAAATACAAATAAGACTAACTACTAGTTGGAGAGTTTGCATTGATTATAGAAAATTAAATTCAGTTACTAGAAAAGATCATTTTCCCCTACCATTTACTAATCAAATTCTAGAAAAATTAGTTGGAAAAAACTTTTTTTGTTTTCTAGATGGATACTCTAGTTATAATCAAATTTATATAAACCCTTTAGATCAAGAAAAAACAACTTTCACTTGTCCAATTGGTACTTTCGCTTTTAAATACATGCCTTTTGGTCTGTGTAATGCTCCAGCCACATTTCAAAGATGTATGCTATCTATTTTTTATGATATGATTGGAAAATGCATAGAAATTTTTATGGACGATTTTTCTGTTTTTGGTGAATCATTTGATGAATGCTTAAATCATTTACAGCATGTACTTGAGAAATGCATAGAGAAAAAATTAGTTTTGAGTTGGAAGAAATCACATTTTATGGTTAAAGAGGGAGTTGTGTTGGGTCATATTGTGAGTGAAAAGGGTTTAGAGGTGGATAGAGCAAAAATTGATATTATATCTAAAATGAAACCTCCGAATTCAGTAAAATAGATTAGATCTTTCTTGGGTCATGCAGGTTATTACAGAAAATTTATTCAAGATTTTTCGAAAATTTCTAAACCTCTCACCATGCTATTATCTAAAGATGTGCCTTTTAATTTTGATGAGAAATGTTTTGAGTCTTTTTCCGAAATAAAAAGATTACTTACTGAGGCACCCATTTTACAAGCTCTTGATTGGTCCCTTCCCTTTGAAATAATGTGTGATGCATCGAATTATGTAGTGGGGGCCGTTCTAGGACAAACAAAAGAGTCAAAACCTATAGTAATTTCATATGCTAGTAAAACTATATCCAATGCTCAATTAAATTATACCACGACTGAAAAAGAGTTGTTATCTGTAGTATTTTCATTAGAAAGGTTTAGATTATATATTTTGGGGGCTAAAATTATTATTTATACTGATCATACAACATTAAAATATCTGTTAAATAAGAAAGATGCAAAGCCACGTTTATTAAGATGGATTTTATTGTTGTAGGAATTTGACTTAGAAGTAAAAGATAAAAAAGGTTTCGAGAATGTTGTTGCTGACCATCTTTCTAGATTAAGTGATACAGGACTAAATGCAACACCTTTACAAGACGCATTTCCAGATGAACAATTGATGGCAGCTCAACATTAACCATCACCATGGTATGCACATATTGTTAATTTTCTGGTTTCTAGAAAAACTCCAGAACAGTGGGATAAGAACAGAAAAAATCATTTCTTTTCTAAGATTAGAAATTATTTTTGGCATGATCCTGATTTATATTACTTGGGCAATGATCAAATTTTAAGGAGATGTGTTCCTGAAGAAGAATATCATAGCATTATTAACATGTGCCATTCATCTAATTGTGGAGGACATTTCTCTGGACGAAAAACAACTGCAAAAATTTTCCAATGTGATTTTTATTGGCCTACAATCATTAGAGATTCTATAGAATTTAGTAGAACATGTATTTCATGCCAATCTATAGGTAACATGAGTAAAAAAGATGAAATGCCCATGAGTAACATGTCAGTAGACGAAATTTTTGATGCGTGGGGAATAGATTTCATGGGTCCCTTCCCATCAGCTGAAAAATATGAATATATTTTGCTTGCTGTTGATTATGTGTCGAAGTGGGTGGAAGCTATTCCTACTAGAACTAATGATCATAAAATCGTGATGAAATTTGTGCAGGAAAATATTTTTTCAAGATTTGGATGTCCTAGAGTGATTATTAGTGATGGAGGAACACATTTTACAAATAAACATTTCAGGGAACTATTGAAAAAGAATGGAGTACACCACAAAGTAGCCACTCCATATTATCCCCAAACAAATGGGCAAGCTGAAGTAGCAAATAGGGAAATTCAGAGAATTTTGAGAAAAATAGTTAGACCAGATAGGAAAGATTGGCCCACGAAATTACAAGATGCATTATGGGCTTATAGAACAGCTTATAAAAATCCCATAGGTATGTCCCCATTTTGTCTCATTTTTGGAAAGCCATGTCATCTTCTTGTGGAAATAGAGCATAAAGCGTTATGGGCTATAAAAAATTTATGTATGAATGAGAAATCAGTTGGTGGGCATAGAATTTTTCAGCTACATGAATTAGAGGAGTTGAGGAATGAAGCTTATGAAAATCATAGAATATATAAAGAAAAAACTAAAACTTTCCCTGATAAATACATTAGCAGAAAAAAATTTGATGTTGGACAAAAAGTGTGGTTATATTATTCTAGGCTGAAATTATTCCCAGGAAAATTAAAATCAAAATGGAAAGGGCTTTATGTGGTGGAAGAGACATATGATCATGGGGCTGTAATGATTAAAGATCCTAAAAGTGATCATAACTTTAAGGTAAATGGACAGCGGCTTAAACATTACATAGAACATGAACGCCTTGTAGAAAAAGAAATTTTATTATTAAAAAAAATTCAAGAGTAAGACCAAGGAGTCCAGCTGGAAACATTAAATTCAGCGCTACATGGGAGGCAACCCATGGTTTTTATTTCATTTTATTATTATTATTTTAAGCTCTGTTTTTCTTAGAATTTCGCAGTACTTGTTTCTGTGTTTGTTTTTCTTTCGAAAAGAGTGTAGGAGGAGGAGTGTAAGATGAAGTGGAAAATTAAAAACGAGGTTGAGGTGATGTCTTTCAGAGCTTCATCATTTATGAAAATATTTTTAATGCTTAACTTTGCAGATATGCATGCTTCAGTTGAAAATTATATTTTCTGCATATTCTGTTTCGAGTTTTCTGTGTCATTGAGGAAAAAGTCATTTTTAAGTTGGGGGGTGAAGTATTCATTATTAATTTATGCTGTAGGACGATTAAGAACATGTGTTTGCATTTTATTCAACTTAGAACAGCAACTAAAAAAATAAAAATAAAATAAAATTTGGAAAAATTGCAACATCTATTTTCTGGTTTTCTGTCAGAAACAACAGACTGTCAAAAACAGCAGACAAAAAACAACCCGAAATTTGAAATTCTAGAAGACCCTTTTCTCACATTTCAATCCCCTAGATATATATTACTGAAATTCGAAATTACAGCTATAAAGAAGATAGTTTTGATTTATTTTTGACAAATTTATTACTGCTAAAAATAGAACTGAAAACAGAAAACGAAATTGTCAGAACTATCTAATTTACAAATTCCTTACATCAAATTACATGTATGAAAAATTAAATCAATTAGATTGATTGATACCAAAAGATACTAGGAAGATTATTATTGAGTCAAAAGAATGATCTAGTAGCATAAAATGTTGGAATACTCCTTGAATACATGATAGATAATATGGATTTGATTTTGC